CCCGTAAGATCTGAGGGTCCTTGTAAACACATTCCAAAGTAACAAGATTGGAGTTTAATGAAATAAGTGCATATAGGTCGTTAATTGTAAACACATTCCAAAGTAACAAGATTGGAGTTTAATGAAATAAGTGCATATAGGTCGTTAATTGTAAACACATTCCAAAGTAACAAGATTGGAGTTTAATGAAATAAGTGCATATAGGTCGTTAATTGTAAACACATTCCAAAGTAACAAGATTGGAGTTTAATGAAATAAGTGCATATAGGTCGTTAATTGTAAACACATTCCAAAGTAACAAGATTGGAGTTTAATGAAATAAGTGCATATAGGTCGTTAAATGAGGAGGCTATTTACAGGCACAACTTAACTCGCCTACCACACAAAGCAAACTTGGCTTGCAAGCCAAACACAATAATGAGAATTTCCTAGAATAATGTACTTAGAGCCCAAATTAATATAGACCTTGTATTTTTTGAGTGTTAACATAAATCAAACTCTCTGACAAGCAATCAATTTAATTTTTAAAAAATTGTCTTTATTTTTTTTTCCCAAAGTTCTATTAATTTACTTTTCCTATAATTACAAGCTATCTTTCAATATAAATAATCAGAATTCTCTTTCACAATTCATTTGCTCAAATTTACTTTAATTTCATAATTGGTGAAATGTATATCTATAGATCCAATCCGCAGTCTCAAAGTTAGATTAAATGTGCATTTAATTTTTAAATTGGTTTACTACACACGCCCATAAATTTCAATTCAAATTGTTAGTCAAGTAGCTGATATTATTTTTGCATCAACAGAAATTCAATTAACTTTCTTGGATACTTTAAATTTTAAAAGGAAAGCTAACATATAAGCTTTTTTTTTTTTTAAATCCAAATCTCTAGTAATATTTAGACTAATTTTTGGATTTCTATGTTTGTTTCACTCCCTCAAATATCAAACTTTTAAAAAATAATAAATAAATCTCAAATTGTGAATTCCTTCTCAAATTGTGAATTCCTTAAGAAACTACAATGCCTTCTAGTGAATAAAAAAAGAAAATTTAGCTAGAACTATTAATCCTAAAAGGCAACAAAAAAACGTATGAAATAATTTAACAAAATTAAACATATAGTAGTTTAGAGACTAATAGTGAAAGAATGTTTTTTTATTGACTTTTCTATTAAGAAAGAGAGATTAAAAGAATGTTTATTTATTTTTTTAATAATTATTTATGCTTTTCTTTTTGGAAGTTATAATTATTCTTATGTTTAATTTTCATTTTGTGATTTTATTAAAATTTTAATTACTTATTATATTTTAAATTTTATTTTATTCAACTTTATTCATTTTAATTTGTTATCATTTTTTATTAAAAAAGAAAATGAAAAAAAAAATGTCCATATAAGATTCTAATCCTAAACTCAAAAGCCCATATATGCCACTCCAAAAGCCTAAATCTACATATGACTACTTAAATGCTCATAGGCTAATATCTTATATGGAAATAAAAAGGGATAATAATATATTTAGTATCTTAACTTTTCGATTTTTTTTATTTTGGTGTCAAAATAGAAAACACTAATGATTGATTGTTTGAATTTTTAAAATTTTATAATTGAATCTCTCGCACTGTTATGGCTAACCAGGAGTATGATTGTGCAATTCTTGATAAGTGGCCACTAAAAAGAGCTCCAAAATTGTCATATAATTCAAATATGATATGGACATGCTTAAAATGACATTTTTAACCCCTATTTATTTTTGCCCAACACTCCTATATTTACCCTATCGATCAAATCCCAAGCCAGCCTCAACAATCAAATACCTATACTCAGATGGACTGGAAAAATCATAGAGGCAAAGCTTCTCCCTAGAAACGCATATCTCAAATGGACTCTGAAACATGGGTCTTGAGTAAATGCTCGAATTGCACACGGCGTTACAGCAGCTACCATGGCCCCTTTTTTTTTTTTTTTTTTTTTTTTTTTTTTTTTTTTTTTTCTTTTTTTTCTTTTTTTTTTTTTTTTTTTTCTTTTTTTTTCTTTTTCCTTCCTTACCTTTCTTGCAAAGATAATTGAGACGAGGCAGAGCGACGGAGGCTTAGGAAGCTGGCATTTATCATAGAGAAAGAGAGAGAGAGACGGCCAGTGTCCAGTTAACTGGAAAAAGGTAGTCTTTAGTCGACATTACATCTCCCAGACTCCCACCCACCACAGTCTCCACGTGATAGATTTTTTTGAGTTTGTTCTATTATAGCATTAAGCTAAATAATCACATGCAACTAACTAGAAAAGATGAGTTTTATTATTTATTATCCATTGGCGTGGAGCTTGAAAGTATCTGAATATATATATATTGTTCCATTAACAGTAAATTGACAATTTTATCATAAAAATTCTCCAAAAAAGACAACTATATCATAAAATAGAAACCAGACCACTAACAAGTATATGTTAAGGATTCATTATATCAAGTTTGATAGTTCATAGTCAGACTTGGGATTACCAAGAGCTAAACGAGAGTTTGGTTTAGTTTCAACTACAACAGAGAAACAGAGATCCTAATAAAATATAATACTGATTCCTACCTTGAAAGCTCTATGGCTTCATGTATAATGATCAATCTTTCCATAGGAAGACTTCTCACATGATCGGCTGGTAGGTTAATTGCATGTCCTAGTTGTCTTTCTTTTCTTTTACAGTTTCTTACTACAATGTAATCTCACTTGCTTAACGTCCTCTCTTAACAACACCCAACTACTTATAAGAGATTTAATCCCAAATCAAGTTTAAATAAACCACAATACTTCCAAAACAGGATTGATTTAATATGATAAAGATCCTTGATTTGCTCTACAACTACCGGTTTTCAGCTCCTTATTAAAACCAAAACCAAAACCATTCCCTTCACTTTTCATCCATGGTTAAACAATATGTTTTGGGCTAAGGAGGAAAACAAGAATACCCAAAAACTCATCCAAAATCCAGAAGACCCAAAATGCATTTTACTATACAATTAAATTATCCATACTCGATGATAATATATTGAGGATCTAATACAATACCATCGTGGAGGAGGTGTCAATGGTTAAAAAATCAACAATCCAAATTTCTCTTATTCAAAACTCCTCTCTTTGCCTCTACAAAGCTCAATCGACCGTGAAACATAGGTTAGTTGTCTCCTTATAAGATTGTAGCAATGATCTCAACTAAATACCATGTTTTCCCTTCTTCGATTGACTTCTATCTTCACTTTCCTTATTATATCCCTCTCTCTCTCTCACACACACAGCTTTTGCTAAGAATTATAGAGGTTTAAAGAAGCTCTTGTGTGATTGGCACTAATAAATATGAGTCTTTTAGCTTGATTCTTCGAATTGTTCAGATCAGTCTTTTAACATCCATAGAGAGAAGATTTAGGATTCCTAGAAAGAGAAAGGGAGAAGATTTAGATCATTGCGTTAAATGAGGGGTAGAAAGGGAAATCATGTAAGAGTACAAGTAGAATCCATGTGTATTGATGATGTGGACAAAAAAAATACATCGATGGCGCCGACACATTAAAAATAGACTCATAAATGTCCAATTGCTGTCAACACATTAAAAATAGACCCACAAATGTCCCGACCGTCCAAATCCGAATGAGATATTTAATTGTAAATTTTAAAAAATTTAAACACTATTTAGACACTAAATATTTCAAAATAGAAAAAAAATTGAAAATTGAGACGCTAAAAATAATATTATCTCTTCTATGTTATGAACGACAGCCACAATGTCTATCGTTTCTCTCCTCTAATGTCTAATACTCAAAAAGCTTATGGAAACTCAGACAAGAAGAAGAAAATAGCAAAGAATAATAATAACAGGTATAAAACAGTGTTCAAAATCTGCAATACAGAAAGAATTGAGGATCCAACAACATATCACAAAGCCATCCAAACAAAAAGTATATAACCCATGAAGCTTACGGGTCACCAAATCTAGTATGAAATTTATATTGAGTTGGATAAATTATCAATGGAGAATTGAAGATATTTGCATTTGGAAGTGGTCAGGTGTAGAGAGGCTATTACTCAAACTGTGTCCAAAAGCCTGGCCAGGAACTTGGTTTTTTCCGATTCTACCAGTTCCCAGGTTTATTCAAATTTTCTCGGTTCATTTTGGTTTTTTGACCCACCGAGTTTTAATGTTAAACAAGACCAAACCAATTATTGGTTCACAGTTTAAACGGTTCAATTGATCAGTCTAGTCCAATTTTGAAAACATTGCTTAAATGTGCTAAACTGAAGAGAGAATCGGTATATTGCAGTAACACTTTGATTTGGGAAAAAACTAATAAAAAAAAAAAGATATTATCATCATTTGCTTCTGAATGGTGATTTTTTACATTGTGAATGCCAAATTTTCTTTCCAAAACGGGAAGAATCCAAATTGGTGGGCCTAAGAGAAAATACCCAATATTTTCCTTTACATTTTTCCACCGTATTTCTAAACAAAGGATTCTTATTTTCCTTCCAAATTTTATCTCCATATTCTCTTTCCTCCCAAAAAATCATCCCATCCAAACAGGCGGTAAGAGAAATTGATTTAAAAGAAATGGATGATGACCAAAAATTGAAAAAAAATGGAAAATAAAAACAGGTGACTAATTCTAGCCATCATCATCCTGTAAAATACCGCCTAAAGAAAATCTTATTAGGATTCATTTGAAAAAACTCATGTCATTTCTATGAATTCAATTCTAATATAAGAATTTTTCCAAATACCATATAAATAAATAATAAATTCAATTTATTTTATATTCTTTATTATCCTTATTTATTTTAAAGCAACTGATAATATTAAAAATTTAGAAGATTATAGTGTACATTACAAGGATATTCTTATAATTTGACAACACATTACAATTAAATTAAGTTCTTGCATGTACAATTTAAAATGACATAAATTCTAAAATTTCAAATTATTTTTTTTATATGAAATATCTCATTTCCAAATATGAGGATTGACAAAATAGAACGAATTAATTTGAATTACTGTACAATTTGGCTTTACAAATAGGATAGAACCAGGAGAAAGAAATGGAGCATCAGAATTGGTCTATGCCATTGCCATTACCATGGTACTAATAACAAAAATGTAATCATCAATTTACACTGCTTAAAAGGCATTCATGAGTCACCTTTTTATAAGTCTCAGTACTCCATTACTTAAAGAGAGAATATACTTCACCAGCTAGTGTTTAGAAGTTGGAGCAGAGATCTGCATTAATTAAGAAAAGAAAAAAATTATTAACAAAGCTATCTTCATCTCTAGGGAATTGGATAAATGAAAAGTTGCTGATCTTTGTAAATAAAATATTCTACTACCACTCACTGCATAATCCTCACATGTTGATTCTTTTCTTTAGTAAACTCGTTTCATAGTACTAAAAATGGGTAGCTCTCAGGGTAGAATCAGAAACAACAAAACTGAAAGTTTACAAACTACAACTACTAAGTTATAAGAAGATACTATGTGAAAGCAAGATTAAATCCAATATCTGATTCTTGATTGGCCGAACAAATCATTGGTACCTATCAGTACTGAAATAAAGACATCAAAAGTATTGCATGTGAAGATACTTACCAAGAAAATTTCTTGTTGAATGGCTAAGTAGATGGAATCCCAAAACGGCTTTGGAGGTTGCCGATTGCTTTGTCACATGATCTTGCAAGTTCAGGAATGGTAGTTTTGCACACTGAACAAGGTTAACCACATTTTAAGGAATGATAACAGTACGTAGCTCACTTTTTTTAGCGACCTTTTTAATCAGCTTGCATGCAAATTTCCCCCTCAACCATGCATAGATAATAATCCTGACTTGATGCTACTCTATAGCATTATTGCTAGATTTAAGTTTCGTCCTGCGACTACAGGAAAGTATCTCATGTTCATAGGTCTGATGAATTGCGAAGAAATAAAATATCATACTCATGTATGAAAGTGAAGGACTATGTTGAGAGGAAATGAGTTAACTGAGTTCAGCTCAAATTGGTGTTGACTTGTTATGTTATTCAAGAAAGAGTTTAGTGTTCAGTTATGGATGTTAATTCCAAATCCAAAGTCCTGGATTCTGAATTACATATATCTTATCACGCTGAATTGAAAATCATAAATATATTATACAAACGTACAACGGGATGAAGTGGCTCGTGCATCTGCCAAAAGCTCTTCATATGATTCCTGAGAGCAAGAAATCAAATTAACACTTGGAATAGCAAAAGTAACACACCAAAATCAGTTTCTTTGAACTGTCCAAGTACAATCAAAAGCTTTCTCACCTTCATTGCCTCACAACTTTCATTAATCTGTTCAGACATCTCCTTAAAATCGTTCTCTGCTTCATCCATCACCTGCTGGCATGTTTGGGACTGGATCTAAATCACAAAAATAGACATTGTTGTACTAGTTTCAAAGTAAATAAGAAATATAAGATTTTTTGAAAATCATTAGTAATCTAGATATTCAATTTACTCATAATATTTGCGGTTCCTTTATTTATTTAATTGATTTTTGTGCAGCAACCATATAAATATCTTCTACTGAAAAAGGAATAAGAGTGTAAAGAGTTTGGCACTCTCAATAAATGATATCAAAATAGGTCTCATAAGATTAGGTTTAAGAACCCATTGGTCAAAGAACAAAATCACTTTGATCAATATTCACCAAGTGTGGTGTGGGAGAGCTACGCTAAGAGATCAACACATGAAAAGCTCAAGGATATGGCTACACTTACACATATTGAATTGAAGCATATGCATGCAGAACCCAATTTTAAGGCTACTTACATGAAAATCCAACCCTTGCACTAGAAAAGATAAATAGAATAATGAAAGCATCAAAACACGTTAATTATAAAAGAAATTCAAGAATTTAAGCTAAATCAAAATTCAATACACTATGAAGGGCATTCATCTTATTAAATTCTCTCTTTTCTTCATCCGGAATCAAATCTATAACCGAAGATTTTAAAGTATCATTGCATAATAAAAATAATATAACAAGCCAGCTAATGTAATTTTAAATATGGTTTTCAAAGATAGAGGTTGTTCTCAGTCTAATTAGCACATTGATTGTATCATTTTAGGAACAGTTTGGCAACTAAACCATAATACATTAACAGATTCTGAATATAACAGAGATAAGGAAAATATTAAAGGCTCTATAACATGAAGAATCGATAGCCAAAAGCCTAGATTGAACATTAGGCAATTCAGTTGTTGGTTGACCAAATCAATATAAGAATCCCTTAATAGTTGTTTTCACATCGATTACAGCAAATTTTTCAGATTTGATAAGGCAGTCAGTGCAGATACAAGGCCAAGCTACTGGTATAGAATTTAAAATTCAAATTGGTTTTATTATTCTCACTCGTAGAGAAGCAAATCGTAAGAACATGAACTAAGACCGTAACGTAGTAACTCAAGTTTGTTTCTAGTAGCCCAAAACACCAGCATATACAAAATACAGAAACTAATGCTAGAGATCGAAGATAATACAAGTACGAATATGATAAATAGACCTGAATTTCAAACATAGTGTTGATTTATTAAATTGCTCAACAGCCAAACAGGATTGAGCGAGAGAGATAGTAAGAAAGACCTTGAAGCGTTTATGGAGGCGAGAGTGAAAGGCTTCGAGGTCTTTGAGAATCTCAGAATGAGAGTGATCAATGAGATTGGACTTGACATGGTGGAGGCGTGAAGAGGACATGTCCTTTAGATCAGAGATGGAGGCTATGGTTTTTGGAGAATCTGCAAGATTAGGTTTCTTCTTCCTGAGAATGGTTGATTTCGGAGTTGGAGGCGAAGACGCGGATGGCATTGGAATTGGCGATTTGCGACTTGCTTTCTTATTCATTTTCGAGTTTGAATTTGTGATTTGCTCTCTCTCTCTCTCTCTCTCTGCTTGTTTGACTGTTTTAGAGGCAAGTGCTTTTATTACGGTATATGTAACGGCGGGAGATTTTTGGATTTGGGGGGCACAGGATTTTTAAGTTTCAATTTTGTGTTTTTTTTTTATACGGACCTATGAAAACTAGGTGATGTGAGAAATTATTATTAGATATAAAGTTTTGTAGGTATTTAAAATAATATAAATATTTTATTTTTATAGAGATTTATCTAATTGGAAGTATATAATTAAAAGAAATAGTAAATTATAATAATTAATTCATCATTGCATAAAATATATTTAAATTCTTTGATATTACACATAATTAAATCCCAACAAAAATAAACAAAATAAAACTAAACTAGGCAAAATATAAAATGAAAAAATAAAACCCGACTCAAACAAAGCAATGAAATACCATAGTTTTTTTTTTTCAACCGGCAATCAGAGAATCTTTTAACAATAGAAAGAAATTTAAAAATTAAAAAAAAAAATAGAATAGTCAACACAAAGGTAATCTTGAACTCTCTATTTATATATAACGATTTATAAATATTTAAATTCTCAATTAGCATAAGAAAAATTAAAAGCTAAAATAATTAATTTCATATCAACCTAATTCTTTAAATTTTAAATTAAAATAAGAAAAATCACATAGATAGCTTTTTCATGATAAATTCGATATGGTCGTATAAACAATAAATTGAATTTAAAAATCTCAAATCGACTTGAAAACATTCAATTTATCATAAGAAGAAAAACTAAATTTGTTTACTAAAAAATTCAAAATTAGAATCAAAAAAATCAAAAGAGAAAAAAAATGAAAAATACTACTCATCAAATTATCTTATTGTTTTTAAACTGCATGAGATTATTCTTGCACATTGATAGGTTATTTAAAATAAAATTTGTATCGAATAATTTACTCAGAAATTAAAAATCATTACCAAACAAACCAAAAATAATGTGTATTTTTGAAACACATGATTTTTTAACATTTTTCAAATTATTAAATTTTTAAACTTACTATATTTGATTTGAAGTTTAGACTATATAAAAATAAAAAATTTGTATTTGTAAATTATAAAAATTTAAAGATTTAGACATTGTATTGTTTTTTTTATCACATATTCGATTTCTACCAAAAAAATAAATAACATATTTGATTTGAATTATAAAAATAAAAATTTGTATTTGTAAATATAAAAATTTAAAGATTTAAGACATTGTATTGTTTTTTTTTATCACAATAAATTCGATTTCTACCAAAAAAATAAATAAGATAAATTTGAATTTGAATTTTAAACACTAATATTATATTATAATATATTATATATATTATATATATATATATATATAAATATACTATATATATATTATATATATATATTAAATTATGAAAATCTGAAAAATATTACATGAAATATGGTAAATTTTTTTTATTGGTCATAATTAATCAATTTTAAATTCAGTAAAATGAAAGATAATTAATTAATTGAAAGTAAAATGACGGGAGAGAAAAAGTAGATAAAAAAAAGAGAAATGCTCAAAAATTCTAAAAAAAAGATAAATCACAATATTTCAAATTGTAACACTACCGCCAATCCAAAGGATCTAACAGCCTGGATGCAACATTCAGTGTAACAGCCCAGCCCTTCAGTGTGTATTGTCCGCTTTGGGTGCCAAACAATGGCCTGACCTCAACGGTATTTTGTTTTCTGGGCCAGGGAACCTCCGCTCTGCAGCCAAAACGCAGTCACACACTAGTTCAAGGTGCCACCTTTATGTTATAGGACTTCCACCCTTGTGCGTAGCCGAGTGTGGATCGCCTAAGGTGTTGTGGCCCCAAACCTGGGATGTCAACATACACCCCCCCTAGGGACCTCAGCGTCTTCGAGCTGAGGCTTTGCCCACCACCGCCAGAGGGAACAAGGCCCTTGGCTGCTGAATACCAAATTTGTACAGCACCAGCCCCTAGTGTGATTTGTCGCAGCTTTGGTGCCACCTGGCGCTTGAACCCTCAGCGGTTTTGGGTTTTTCAGTGGCTGGGCCAGAGGGAGGTTTCCCTGGCCCAGAAACAAACCGTGAGGGTTCAGCCAGGTTTTGGCACCAAAAGCGGACAATATCAACACTAGGGCCTTGGGCTGTTAGGGAAAACCGTAATAACCAGAAACGCACAGAAACGGGAGAATTGTTTTTAACAATTACCTCCCAAACAAGTAGTCAGGTTTCCCGCTGAGTTTTAAATGGCCCCGACTCAGATCACACCATGTCATGCATACATGCGGGCTCCAGAATAGCGCCAGCCTAGTCGTCACTCCTCAGATGGGCTAGAAATTTCAAACTCCTTTCAAGATGGAAGGATAAACTTCTCTTTCCTGTTGGACCCAGAGTCGAAGCGAACAGCAGCAACCAGGGTGAATCTGCCACCTACAGTAGCTGTCAGCTTTCCCTGCCTATATTTAGCAAGATGTTGGGGGCCTGGAGGATAACCAGCATCTGGAAAATGCCTCAAAATGGGAAGTAGTAGAGCCTGGCCCGAAATCTGGGGCAAGTGATCCTATCCAGCTCACCATGCTGATGCAGGAGAGACCTCAGTCTCCAGTCATTGTAACAGCTAATCGGCGAATAGCCAAAGGAATCCCGGAGATTACCCGAAAATCAGTGGGGGTCATTGTCATCTCACCCCAAGGGAAAATGGAAGTATTTGGTGGTGTCCCACCATCTTCGGCAAGCACTCAAGCAATTCTTTGTGGTTGTTCTGACGCCACCGTCAAAATGCCTGCAGGTAGCCCAGATGGGAACGGACTAAATAACGCTCCGATGCTTGCTTATGGTCAAATATCTCGACTGGAATTTTTTCAGCCACAGAGGTCTCACCCACATCCAGTTTAATATGAGGGTCTAAAGTAAAGCAAATCTAAGAGTTATTCTCGTTTCCTGTACTAAGGATAATAAATATCTTAGTTCTAACCCTAGCAATGCATACCTAATAAAACAGTAAAAATGAAAAATATGATAAAAAATAAAAAAAAGAGAAGAGTAAACTTACGTGGGCGTAGATGCCAGTCAACGGAAGCGTGGCGTGTTGCGTCCCGCTGTAGGGTCGGGCGTATAGGGAAATTCGCCAAAGAACTCAGGAAAATCCTCATCGCTGCTGTGACCCGGAAAGTCCATGATGAGGAAGTTGAGAGAATTTGAGAGAGCTCTTTGATTTGAGACGTTTTAGAATGAACGAAAGAGAGAACTTCAAGCTATTTATAGGAAATAGCCAAAAGGCGGGTTTTCTGGACGCGTCCGATTTTTTGCCTTTCAAATTTATTTTTCAGACAAACGCACCGGACGCCCAAATAAATCCTTTTAAATGGTTGCCGGTGGGGAGGCAACTGTGAATACTCAATTAATTTTGAGGCCTCAAAGCCTGTTTCCTGGACCGCAACAGTCTGGCCCGGGACGGAGGCATTTTGGAAATTTACCGAAGGATATGCCAATATCGTACTTGAACGTCCGAAAAATTGCGAGGATCGGCAGACCTGGTCCTGAAATATTTTTTGAGGTACGGAAAACTCCCGAAAAGCCCTTCGGAACGAAAAACTAGAAGTGGACAAGCACGGCGGCGGAGGCCACCGGCAAGGGCAGCGGCTAACCGCCGGGTCTCACGGCGGCCGACGGCCGCTGGCAACGGCGGCTTTTAGGCGCCGGCCAGCCGCCTTTACGGGCGGTAAGCGGCCGCCCCTCGCGGCTGCAGCAAGCCGCCCTCCAGCCCTGGATTTTTCTATAAAATACAGCCCCGGGCACTCAGTTTACCTCACTCAGTCTGTGTTGACGGACGCTCTCTTCTCCCCTACGCTCCTTGCGGTTCTTTTTACTGCTTTTTCTGCATTTTAGTGTAGGCTTTTTTAGTATTCTGCTGTTGTGATACTTTGGTCACTTAATTGAACAAATTTTAATTAATTTTTCCAAACGAGGAGCTTAATCTGGAATTTTAAGCTGAAGCTAAGAAGCGGCTGCCGATTAACTCAGGTAATAACTAAACCCTGTCTATTTAATTTTTAGGCACTTATGCATATCTTCCTTCTACTGCGCAATTCTGAATTAAACTTTGCATAAATGACATTCCACGTCACCTCAACTTGGCCAATAAACTGCCTTACCATTAAAATATGATTAAGCTTAATGCCGGTTAACTAATAATCGTGGTGTTAAAGCTAAATCGACAATATTGCTAAGTATCTACGTCAATTATGACTATGGTATAATCGCCTTTTATTTCCGAACAGTCAACCAGCTTAAAGTTTCCCCCCCCCCCAAAAAATTAAATTTTTTAAAATAATTTTTGTGGGCCCCTTTAAAAAAAATTTGGGGGCCCTTTAAAAAAAATTAACACGTTTTTTTTTTGGCAATAAATTGCCTATATTGGCAATTCAATTGATCATTTTGGCAAAACAAATTGCCTATAAAGTAAGATTAATCATTTTTAGCGACAAATTGCTTAAATCGAAGCTTTCGGCAAAATGCGTGAATTAATCATCTTTGGCTCAAAGCCTTTATCACTCATTTTGGCGTGATCGCCCAATCAACACTTTTTTGGCATAACAAAATTGCCTAAATCAACTCATTTTGGCTGAAAGCCTCAAAATAAAATCAATTTTGGCGAAAATCGCTAAATCACATCAACTTTTTTGGCAACAATTGGCCTAAATCATCTTTTTGGCTAAATCCTTTAAATCACACTTTTGGCAAGCAAATGCCTAAACAACAAATCAAAATCAAACTTTGGCAAAATGCTAAATAAAATGCAGCAAAGCATACACACACTCATGCATTAAAGCATATCCCATTCAAAGTCCCTTTAAAAAAAGGCTATCGAATACGTCGATTGATCTTCCATTCAAACGGAAGTACGTAGGACGTTTGGGATCTAATCCGCCGAGCGGCAAGTCTGAAATCACTTAAACATTTCATTAGTCCAATATACCTTGCAAAGCAATTCCATTCATTGGTTAGTTAATCAGCAAAATGAAATTACGTCTTCGGGATC